AGGTTCTAGAAACAATCTTTGGAAATGCATATCATGCGTTTTTAGCTTTTATTTAACTTATATATTACTTCATATTACTTTTCCCAACACATTAATCAATTTGACAAGAGGTATTATTATTAGTACTCATCTTCTACAATACTTCTTACTACTGACATTCATTATACAACTAATTTAAACTCAATACTCATTAAATCCAACCACCACAGTCGCCGTACTGACGAGGTTCAATTGTGGCAATGGCAAGAAATGTACACGACTTAATGGACCAAAATATTTCTTACCATTAAATTCTTATAATTTACCAATTTTTTAATTCTCATCTCCTGCCTTTTTACTCGTCGTCTTTTTTCATCCGTTTTTAATGCACCCTATTTTTTATTCTGCTCCTTCTGTAATAGCTTTGCGTTATTTAACAGTATTCTACTTCGTTTGCTTAAGACCAGGTAAAGCCTTATTTTCTGAGCTATCGGTGATGTTATTGGCATAATCCCATACTCCAAGCGCAGCTCTATGCCAGGTTGTTCGATCCCGGGCTCATATCGCCTATTTGATGCATGTGCGCGATATTCATAAAAAGGTGAGCAGAAAAAAAAACTGAGAAAAAAATGAGCAAAAAGACGAACCGAGAAAACCGCTAGCAAAATGAGCACGATTTTCGCGCACAGTGAATGCTGATTCTTATTCACGAAGAGGAACACTACCCAAATAATCGCCGATATCCCGGTAACAGCATTCACAATTATATACATCGCGTGATAATCTAGAGTTATCGATTGAAGTTTTGAGTGGCCGTTTGATTTTTTAATCGGTCGAAAAATTTTGTACATGCTTTCTCATCCAATGAATTGAAGAGTAGCTAATAAAACAGCTGAAAGTTGCTTAATTCTGTTCGCTTGCTAAGTCCCAGTTCAGTTATTTTTCAATATTTTGCCAAAAATTACTAATTAATCCTGAGGGATCTCCCAAATGACGAGGTATTTCACCGTGGTCTAGAAAAGGCGGCTTTTCAAGAGGAAGCTGGTTATGTTCAACACACACCATCGAATTTCCAGGTACCCAAAGCTTTACTAAAGAATCTTTTTCTAGCGAGCTATTGAGCCAGTAATCCCTTCAGGAGAAGGAAAGAGCATTAGGGTAGCTAGAAGGCTGACCACCAGGCTATGCAGCACTTGCCAAAACAGTCGCAAAATGCAGAAAGAAAACGGCGCTGTTGCCGGCTATACCACTGGAGATTTTTTTTTTATAATAAATTAACGCTGAACTAGTAGCCGTTTAAAGTTCCAAGCATCAACTCTCTTTGAAAATCTGTAGATGTTACAGGTTTTTTTCTCTTTTTTGCAGCCAACGGTTTTCATTTTTTTCACGCTGTCATGGACAGACCTCTTTTGCAAATGGCTATGCGCCAGGAGGCAATCGAATCATTCCTTTGAATTTTCGGATCAGTTTTCCGCAACACCTACTGCCATTGTCAACATCCATATTTAAATCCAAGAAAGCAAGAAACGGTGTAGAATGGGGCTTTGAAGTCAGTACTTTAACAACTTTTTGCTGTTCCACTGATGAATTTTTTCACTCTCTAAACCTCTCCTTTTTGTTCGTAAATTTTTAACATATAACTGCAAACCTCGACGATCATATGCGATAGCCGTAAGACCAATAGAGGCAATGAAAATTTCAAACAGGAAGAGTACCACAATTGGTATTCGCAGTGCCTCCGCAACGTATCCCAGGATGACAAAAACGCATAAAAGGAGCGCCAGAACACCTTGTACCGAGGCAACAAAATGAAACCATGTCGGATAATTGGCTGCGTCTCTTAATTCATTAGCAGTTATGAGTTACCCAAAAAACCCTAGTTCAGATTTTACCCTGTTCCTCTTAGCCGGTAAAGTGGCATGTCTGAGAGTAGAAGCGCTTAAGATAGGGGATGGTGACATTAATGACATCTCGAAGCGGCTAAAGCTTTGCCAAGCATTCATATCAGAAAAACCGCTGAGCTCGACAGTACACTCATCACTCATCTCGCCAGTACACTCATCACCAAGCGATGCACATTTGGTTAAAGCGGTAATAAAAGTTGCCACATGACTGTTCAGAACATGCCGGGTCGGAGGCTGTACTGATGATTCCCGCTTCTATCCGCACACATTGCTCGGTCTGTGTTTACAGCTAAGGGATGAAACATAGAGTAACTACATCGTAAAATTCAGGAAAGTTGTCACATGACTGTTCAGAACATGGCGTATAGGAAGCTGTACTGATGATTCCCGCTCCTATCCGCACACATTGCTCGGTCTGTGTTTACAGCTAAGGGATGAAACACAGAGACTGACTACATCGTAAAAT